TAAAAGGTATTCTACAGAGAAATATCTAAATATTATTTATTTCAATAGTAACAATACGATATTGATCTACAGTATGTAAAAAAATGATGTGAACACCCTATGACACTTGTCTTGTGAAGCATATTTCACAAACAAAACAAATATTTTTTTGACTTTGATTATATCATTCGATAGGCCAAAATCTCTACTCTATTCTACAAAAACAAAAATTCTTTCGAGAAGATCTTTATAAAGTCTTTCAGATTCTTTTATAGACTGTTTGATTTCATATGCAAAAAAATTATTTGGACACTTGGGATTTTGCTGTTATTGCATCTTGGTCCGGTAACAATAAATTTTGAGTTGCATACCATTCAATAGAGAAAATAATTCTCAACATGTTAATGCGTATTATAACCAAAAAATTATTGATAGCACATCGAAAACTTCGAAATATCTGAAGCTTCATATGTTTTACATAGATTTTGAGTTTTTTCGGTTTAATAAAACGAAAAGTCAAGTCAAAGAACATCATTTGATAGAGAAACAAAAACTGAATCGAATTATGTCTTTGATTCCTGAAAATGATTAAAAACTAGCCATATTAATTGGTAATTAAAATTAATATTTCATCTAGATCTTCCGATAATTTAGGTTGCCAAACTGTAAAATGGAATTGAAAACTTTTTTCAACGATATAGTTTTGTAGAAAATAAAATTCTCTATAAAATGATGTTCTTGGATAAACGATAATTTGTTTTCACGAATATGATAAGACCCTATCTTTTGAAGTACGATTTAGAATATAGAAAGGAAAAGAAAAAAAAATATTTTTCCGTTCTGCTGCTGATACATATCAGACTGGTGAAATGTATATAAGTCGACAGAACAAAAAATGTTTTTTTCTTTTCATTATTCACTGTTAATCGTACTGCAAAAGATAGGGTCTTATCATATTTCGGGAAAACAATTATCACTTACCTAAGAACATCATTTTGTAGAGAATTTTATTCTCTACAAGACTATATTGTTGAAACGTTTTCAATTCCGTTTTTACAGCTTAGCAACCAAAATTATTGGAAGATCTAGATGAAATATTAATTTTAATTACCAATTAATATGACTAATATCGGCGCCACAATATAAGACACCTGGTTGTTTTTTGAATAACTTTTGGTAGGAACAAGATAGAGACCTGCAGTTTTCAACATTTGATAGCCAAGACTCAAGAGCATATTTTTATAAGCAAAAACTTTCCTGAGAAAAAGTCCGAAGTTAGGGTTTTCAGAAGATCTTTGAAAAACCGCGCTGGCGTGTTGAAAATTATCATAGAAGTCTATTCATTTTTTTACATATTCTGAATCAGCATCAAAAACTGCGTCAACTCATATATATTTTTAGTCTTTTAACGAAATTTTCTTTTTGCCAAAAAATTCGTCTTTTGTCAGTTTTTGACTTAATTCATTGATTGACGTGGTCCTGAGGATGACTAGAGGTAAATTTTCGACGAGAAAAAAATTTCGTTAAAAAACTAGAAAAATATATGAGTCGACGCAGTTTTTGATGCTGATTCTGAATATGTAAAAAAAATCAATAGACTTCTATGATAATTTTCAAAATGCCAGCGTGGTTTTTCAAAGATCCACTGAAAAAGCAAACTTCAAACTTCTTTTCAGAAAAGTATTTGCTTATAAAAATATGCTCTTGGGTCTTGGCTATCAAATGCTGAAAACCGCAGGTCTCTATCTTGTTCCTACCAAAAGTTATTGAAAAAACAACCAGGTGCCTTATATTCTGGCGCCGATAGTAGTTTTTAATCATTTTCAAGAATCAAAGACATAATTCAATTCAATTTTTGTTTCTCTCTCTAATAATATCCTTTGACTTGGCTTTTCTTTTTATCAAACCTAAAAAACTCAAGATCTATGTAAAATATATGGAACTTCAGATATTTCGAAGTTTTCGATATACTGTCAATAATTTTTTGGTTTTAATACACATCAACGTGTGGAGAATTGTTTTCTCTATCGAGTGGCATATAACTCAAAATTTTTTGATGCGGAATGAAGATGCAATAAAAGCAAAATCCCAAGTGTCCAAATCATTTTTTTTGCCTATGAAATCAAGCTGTTTATAAAAGAACCTCAAAAACTTTATAAAAATCTTCTCGAAAGAAATTTTTTTTGTAGAATAGAGTAGAGACTTAGGCCTATCGAATGATATAATCAAAGTCAAAAAGTTTTTTTTTGTTTGTGAAATATGCTTCACAAGACAAGAGTTACAGGACGTCCAAATCATTTTTTACATAGGGTATATGTTTTTTTTAATCAGTATTCTATAAGCTTTCGAATAATGTGAAATGAATTATTAATTTATCTCAATAAAATTAACTTACAATCAAAACTTTACCAATATTATACCCTTCATCTCGAATTAATTTTGCTCCATACCAAAGTCCTATTGTCAAAATATACATTATATAAAAAATAAGTTAATCATTATTATACACTAAATACCTAATGCATATGTACAACAAATGATAAACCACAACAAACCCATTGTTGCACCATTAATTACACCTTTCTTTATACCATTTCTTTTAGCTTCATCAAGATGTT